GCCCTTATAAGGGCACCTTCCTCGGGGAAACCGCTATGCAGCGCCTGCCCAGGGTCGCGGAATTCTATCCTGCCAGGAGTATTGATCCTAGTCGTCTTGGGGGATTTATCGTGCCAACTGCCTTTAATAACATGCACCCTGGCCGCCTGTTGCTCGAATGCCAGAAGTTTTAGCGCTAATGGAAGTTGTATTTATGTATGGGAATTCATGCACTACGAGAAATGATTCGCGTCAAATCGAGATGCTGAAATATTGCTTAAAACTAGCAACAATTGCATACAATTGCGGTGTTCGGAACACCACATTTAGCAGAAAGTTATAATCTTCCAAGGAGTAGACTATATATTGACTGGAAAATTCAACGGGTAGTTGGCGCCTGCTTCATAGAGGTTTTTCGGCTTACTTTACCTTGGAAGGGGCAAAAATGCAGTCGCGTGCCGGAAGATCGTTCATACAATTGTTAATTTTGAGGATAAGCACTCGATGCATCGACTGAAGGCAGACGAGGGATACTTGGTCGGCAAGGGGCTTCCCCCAGTTGCCGCTTATCTCACGATTGATCAGATAATTGACACCGCGCTACAGGTTCGTCTATTTTGTTTCATAATAGGTGAGTACTCTTATTGAAAGAAATCTTATTTCGTTGTTTCAGCATAATGTGGATGCCATTCACCCCGGTTACGGCTTCCTGTCCGAGCGGGCTGATTTCGCACGAGCTTGTAACCATGCAGGAATAGCTTTTATTGGCCCAAGTCCAGATGTTATGGCACGTATGGGAGATAAGGTATTTTCATACGGTTCACTGATGAGATTCTCTCAATTCTTCATAAGTGTGAAATAGACTTTGAACGTGAACGTTATCGTGGGGCGTTACCTTTGGAAAATTTCAGCTTTTTTTCAACTGTAAATACTGGAATGATCTACATTTAGGTGGCAGCTCGTCAAGCTGCTATTGAAGCTGGTGTGCAAGTGGTACCCGGAACCCCAGGACCAATTACCACAGCTGAAGAAGCAATAGAGTTTGCCAAGCAATACGGAACACCTATCATCCTGAAAGCTGCCTACGGTGGCGGTGGACGCGGCATGCGCAGAGTTGATAACGTCGACGATGTTAGTTTTAATATATTATATTTTTCCACATGAAATCAAATATTGTCGGGTTGGTTGTTCTCTCAAAATGGGAAAGTAGTTCGGATATGTAACGTGTATACCTAAGGTATGGTAGTTGCAGGTAGGAGAATCATTCCGACGTGCGTTCTCCGAGGCACAAGCCGCATTTGGAGATGGGTCATTATTCGTTGAGAAGTTTGTGGAACGACCTCGACACATAGAAGTCCAACTTCTGGGTATGTTTGAGAATCCTTGAATCATTCCCATGACTGTTCATTGCCAGTGAAAGTCTCAAGGTAAGCGGTAAAATGAGGTGCTCAGGTGTAAGCATCAGCTTAGTTGTTAGTAACAGTGTGCGTTAGGTAGGGAAGTCTGTGGGGTTATGATTGTCCCCAGATTGATTCTTCAAGGTGTGAGCACGAGTTGATCTGTAAGAACGCGCACACTTAGGCAACAAATAATTTATTATCTAATGAAAACGCAACATGAATAAGGAAGTTGCAATAAAAATTAGATAAGAAGTGGTAGACGGTGGAGGAGGGCGCAGAGGGTTGAAGAGGGGACCGCAGCCGATCCGGTGGAGATGACTCTGAAAACAGAAATCTCACAAGACTCCTCCCTGGTCTCTCCCGCCAGGCCCGCCAGATCGTAGTGGTCAAGAGGAGTTCGGAGCAATCCCTGCCCGAACGCGGCCTAAATCCAGCAACCGAACTTTACCACCGCTGGCGCGCAAATTTGAATACAAACTACACTTTGAAGTATCTCCCGCGCAAGCAAATTTGAACATAAAATACAATAGTAAAATACTATACTCGAAATTACATTTTTCCGGAAAATCAGCATCTGTCCGATCATCCACAAGGAAACTAGCAAGCGATATGAAAGGCAAAAACGAAAACAACGCCACTATTGAACCACTCCTACCTCAGAAACTCAAATTTTTTTCGCCGAAACGTCGCCTATTGATGTAGGTCAATGCCCTGATCACGAATATCACAATCGCTTTGAGCGCTGGCGCCATTGGGCGTCATGGTACCATGTCGGATTCGTAATCAAGACCCAAATAACCACTAGATACAAGTTTTCACCGATTTCGGTGGAAAAGATGGTTGCGCCAAGGTGGCGCATAATGGCGCCAAATGGCGTCAGCGCTCGATGTGACATTCGTGATCAGGGCATCGAATTACATCTGTAGGACGAACAGCCAAGTTTGCTGGGAACTTATTCCTGGGGGTAGCTTGTCCCTCTGAAGTGGGTACCACAGTCGCTTGGCATTTGGTGGTTTATGGTGTTTTGGCGACGGCGCCAAAACACCATAAATCACCAAATTCGCTGAAAACTTGTCTCCTGGGGCAGCTTGACCCCGTGAACATGAATATCACAATCGTTTGCCACAAAACCGCCTGGCGCCCGTGCCACAGGCGCCGGCGCTAAAATGTCCTAGATCATCGAATTCGCTGAAAACATGTCTCCTAGGCTAGTTCGATCCCCTGAACAAGAATAACATATCCACTTGACGCCTTGATGACGGTTTCCGTCAATGGTGAACGACAGCTAATTTGTCTTGGGGGACGGTTTCACCCAGTGCTGTCACCGTAACCCAATGAGTTATTATGTAAAATTAATATTTGCGGGCCACGGGAATGCGATATCGGTCTTTAGGTGGTCAAACTACCCCGAAAAACAAATTTTCAGTCAAATGTGCCTCCAGAGGAAGAATTTGAAAAAAATTGCCTGGTTTTGGAATACTGAAACAATAAAAGCTAAACTGTGTCAAAGATTCGGAATTCCTATGCTCGTCTCTTGCATTTCTTGATGCGTTTCGATCGTAGTCATTCCTTTACCCGGAAATTACTAAGTTTCAAAGAAGAAAAATGTGCCGTTCCACGCGCAAGTCATGGGGAAAATGGCTCGTCCTAAACGTGTTGAAAGTAGCAGCTCTTTCTGTAGTTTTGAAACTATACAACTATGAGACTGTGTTAACAGGCAGGATCCCTTTCGCATGTCCCGCTGGCTGTAATTTTTTCGTAATATGATGTTTCTAACTACGTCTTTTGCATTGTTTTTTACTCTCAGTGTAATTGATTGCATTCTTATTTGGACAGAATGATCAGCGCGATATGTGTTTCTTCGAGACAATCAATACTAATTTACAAGTACCCTGTGTTTTTACCTATGCAAAGTCATCAAGTTAATAATATTTTTGCCAAGTTAATGTTGCCATAGTTCATGCTACCGAGGTTATGTTACTGATGTAACGTTACACTTCCAGGATAAACAAAGCTTTCAATAATGGACGATGAAAATCAGTTCTAGGACATATAAGGTGCCTAGAACGCAAGCTGCAAGAGCTCCACCTCCTTCTGTTTGATAAATATCAGTCCTGAAATGACTGAAATATTCACAGCTCAAGAAACAGAGTTCCCGCTCATTCTAAGAGTCAGACCAGCGAATCATCAGCACATGCTGTTTTGTGTTCAAATTTGCGCGCGCGGGAAGATAATTCAAACTGAGTTTGTATTCAAATTTGCGCGCGCGTGGTAACAGTCGGGTGCGGAATTTAGCCGCGTTCAACCTTCACCTTCCGCTACTTATGACCTCTGTGAGCTGCAATGCTCTCCTTTTCATTGGCAGCCCACCTCCTTTGACCCACAAGTCTGCTTTTTCCGCGAAACAGTCCATTATCGCATGCAATCGGCAAATTTGCTGTCACCCTTGCTGAACATAGCGCACGCTCTTTAGTCCCTGCAAGGGCTTTCGTGATATCCCTTTTTTCCAGCACTGACACCTACTAATATGCGCACTTCAGTTGAACGTTTATACATCGCGATCTTGCGCGTAGGGCGCTATGCAAGAAACTGTGGCTTTTGCGCAATACAAATTCGGGTGTCGTCGTAGCACTACTAACACCTCATTCATTCACTGGCGATACTGGGAATTGAGAGTATATTACAATGCACGCAAAGGGAATTATGGGCATTTTTACTTTATGTTGTCCCAGCTACCAGTTGCTAAAGTATGAACGTATTCTAATGAAGCAGCCGCTGAGGCGAAAAAGTTGTGAGGACTGAAGTTGAGAAAAAAGTTCATTGTTTAGGAGATAACCATGGAAATCTCATCCACCTGTACGAGCGAGACTGTTCTGTACAACGACGGCATCAAAAGGTACTCAATATTATTATAATAATACTAATGTACGAATGTGATGAGTTGGATGAATTTATTTTTCAATAGGTCGTCGAGATCGCTCCTGCTCCTGCACTATCTGAAGAAGTGCGAGAAAAAATTCTGGACGATGCTGTGCGCCTCGCCAAACATGTAGGATATCAAAACGCAGGTACAGTTTGATTTTTCCATCTTGACCGCGCAGTTTGGGTTCACATTGATCGATGCGGAAGCGCTTCATTGCGAGCGTGTCATCTGGTGATGGTTCACTTATTCTTACCTTCCAGGTACCGTAGAGTTCTTAGTTGATCAGAAAGGCAACTATTACTTCATCGAAGTGAATGCTCGTCTGCAAGTCGAGCATACCGTAACCGAAGAAATCACCGGGTTTGTGGGTTTCACACGTTCCCTCCTAAAATGTTTTCTCAATGGCGAAAAATTGTTTTAAGAGTAGATCTCGTGCAAGCTCAAATAAGAATAGCCGAAGGGAAAACGTTAGCTGATATCAAGCTGACTCAGGAAGCTATAGTGCCTCATGGATCCGCTATTCAGTGCCGTGTCACTACAGAGGATCCCGCTCGTTCCTTCCAACCAGACTCGGGCAGGATAGAGGTCTTGTGACTCATCCTTTTGTCTTCATAAGGTTTTCGCTGAAATAAAATCTTCAAGGTGTTCCGTTCTGGAGAAGGTATGGGAATACGTCTTGATTCGGCTTCTGCATTTGCCGGTTCAATAATCTCTCCTTTCTACGATTCTCTTCTTGTGAAGGTTTGTCCACAGTCAGGACTACTCTTCGAAATAAAGACATTTTCGCTAATTTCTCCCAATGATCCACATTTTTTTATTTTGTATAAGTATGACTCAAAGGCATGTTTACTCTTTTGTTGATAGCTGGACTCTCCAGGTGATCGCATCTGCTCGTAATCATCCGAACGCGTGTGCCAAAATGATTCGTGCCTTAAAAGAGTTCAGGATACGAGGTGTTAAGGTGAATTACTGTTCTACTGACCATGAGTGTCTATATGAATAACGCTATATTTACAGACTAATATCCCATTTTTGCTCAATGTTCTTCAACAACCCGCATTCCTCGACGCATCTGTTGACACCTATTTTATTGACGAACATCCCTAACTTTATCTCAGATTCAAACCAAAGTCAAAATCGTGCGCCAAAAGTCTGCTCAGTTTCTGTGGGAAGAAGTTTCAGGTGAGTTCAATAAAAAGGATCTGCTATGTACTATAGAAATAATGGCATCATTGAGCTCTATTAGGTTGCGTTCATACTTTGCGCCAGGTGTTCGAGCGTACGGTAGCGTTTTGAGCTTTTTGAGCGTATGCCACAGCGTTTCCTTGTCGCTCAAAACGCTCAAGCCCACCGCGCTAAAAAGCCGGAGTATTAGCATCAGCCTTTCAAGAGATTTGCTTCTGATGTTCTTCAACATTCAACTTCAGGGTGAATCGGCCCTACAACACCTCTCTGCTATCAGATCTATAAACACGCTTGATGTCGAACCAGTAGTACCCTTTTCCGCGGCCTTATATGGGACTCTAGGGCGTCCTGTCGCACTGGTATGTGTAACGTGTTCATTAGCTACTAAGATGATACTGTAGATATGAGACTAATTCCGCAGTGATTTAACATTGCACCTTTTTGATAACTTGAGGAGTCTCATCGCCTTTGTTCTGATTAATCACAGACCAACATAAAATGAATCACTCACCTTCTTGCAGGATACTCGGCGTCAATGGATGTTGAAAGTAGGCCCTAATGCAATGCATTACTTATATTTTCTTGTAATTTCTTGCTTGTATGCGTGCATTAGTTTCTTTCGATGGTAATATAAGACGTAATGCTCATATCTTGAGTTTTTTTTCTGACTGTGTGCTGTTGGTGTAAGTTTCTAACCCTGGAGCTGTATCAAAGGAGCGTATACTGTGGAATCTTTTTTCTGCTACCTTTGTTGCACCTGTGACACGGTGCGCGCCAGAAAACGGTTTTTTATGCATAAAAGTCAAATCATGAATAAGGTGCGGTTTTTCTGCCCCTTATTGAATTGCGTTGAATTTTAAGAAATTTATGTCGAGGTTAGTGTGTCACAGGTGTACATATATGGTTTGCCTGCTGTTGATACCCCGCTCAAAAAGTGTACATCACAGGCTCGCCACCTCCTGTTGGTCTTCGGCAGGTTCTTGTCAAAGACGGTCCAGAAGCGTTTGCACGGGCAGTTCGACGGAATGCTGGATGCATGATCACCGATACTACTTTTCGGTAATCATTTTCTAATTAGCTTTCTTTTAGGCACAGTCTCGGTAGTTTTGCTGGTTCTTGGTATGAATTTAACACCCTTACTATTTACACTTCGCTACGTATCTTTGTCTATTTATGTGTACAAAAACCCACAGCTCCCGTCATAGCAGCGGTGGGACGTTAGTCTCAGTCAGTTATATAGAAAGTGAGACCGAAGGCTCAGCGGTTGGTGATAGGAAGTGATAACGACTAATACATGAGGGACGATAAGGCGACGGGTGATAAGGGACGTCGGAAGGAGAATGTCACCGAATTCGTGACGCGTATCGCGACAACAGTGAGACGTTAGTTTCAATAAGCAAAGTGCTAATGTAGAGGGTGGAACTAGATCTTTGGTAATGGGTAATAGAAAGTGGTAATCATTGAGAAAGGCTGATAGCGATAATTTTGTGCGGAGGAATCCGGCATACCGCTTACGACTACAAAAAGACCAATATAAAACAATTATCAGGCTTACAGTACATGACGCACACCACTACTCATTCCTCCTCATCAGTTTTCATCAACAACAGTAGTGAGTACTATTAAAAACATCCTACTGTTGTATGTCCAAGTAGCAGAGGAGATACATGAAGCAGAAGATTTGGGTGGGGAGGAATAAAACAGCAGGTTGCTCAAGCGGCTTACTGGACGGGTCGCTTAAGTTTCCGCGTGACTTGAAGAGTTCTTAGGAGACAGCTCGGAAAAAAGCTGGTAATATGGAAGGTTCCGGCCGTATGGATAAGACCTATTGTCCCGTAAGGTATTCTGGTGCAGTGAAGGCGACATGTGCTGCACAAGATAGAAAAACTGATCTTGATACTATGAAAATGTTAACAGAATGCCCCTTCCCCCCCCCCCCGAGAAGATGTTGACGGCTATCGACAATTAGGGATATAAGAACAGAGATGAATACTTTTCTTATAGAGATGCTCACCAGTCTTTGCTTGCAACTCGAGTTCGAACCTACGACTTGGCGAAAATATCACCGTTCGTCAGTCATGCATTCCCACACCTGTATTCCATGGAGAACTGGGGAGGTAATACATAGTTGCACCAGTGGTGTTGCAGTGATTTCATTGCTGTAAAAATATGAAGTAATTTTTGTTAGGTGCGACATTTGATGTAGCTATGCGTTTCTTGCATGAATGCCCATGGGAACGACTCGAGACGCTTCGTCAACTCATTCCAAACATACCTTTCCAGTGTCTGTTAAGAGGAGCGAATGCTGTCGGTTATAGCAACTATCCAGATAACGTTATTGACAGGTTAGTACTTACATTTGTCTTTTTTTGAACTGGTATTTATGTACTCATTTTGTGTACGAGATGTGAAATGTGATGTAAATGTACGTATGTGAAACAAAGTTCGATCAAGTGGGAATCACAACATTGCCATTATGTTCATTACTATGACTACCTATTGGAAAAAAAGCAGTAAAATATAATCACAAGGATGCTGAGTCATAAATACCTCTACCTAACGTTTTTGAGCGCTATCTGTCACCAGTCCGTCATCCAGGGTCACTCTTTCTCTTACACTTCTTCAGCTTTTGTACCGGAGCCTTGCAGCAGAGGACTGATGGGGTAACGTACAGTGCGCTCGCCCGCAAGCATGAGGGCGGATTTGACTCCTGCCTAGAATGATGACTTTTGCCCATAATTCAGTATTCTTGTGGTATCTTTCGAAATGCGAACTGCAGTAGCTCTAGTCAGTTAGTTATCATAGTAGATGAATTTCAAAATAATAGATGATGTGAATTAGGGCAATTTGCTAGTAGAGGCCATGCTCGAAAATGTTTTTTTTTTCAGATTTGCAGAGCCCTGTATATGATTATATCAGAATTTTGAGGCGTTTTGTATAATAAGAACAAAGAAACCAGTGGATTTGCTGTCTCTTTTTAGGTTTTGCGAGTTAGCTGTGAAGTCGGGAATGGATATATTCCGTGTGTTCGACTGCTTGAATTATGTTCCAAATCTGGTTGTTGGCATGGAGGCAGCTGGTAAAGCTGGTGGTGTGGTAAGTGACAGCTACTTGAAGACATGTGGTCACGCGAAAGGTGAATGCTGTGCCTATTAAAGGGGGCAAGTTAGTCCCTAGCTTGAGGTGTGGCATTTCCGCCATTTGAAAGTACGCAGCAGTAAAGGTGGAGGGTTGCTATAGCGTTAGCTGTACTTCAGCCCCGGCACGGTCGCACAATGGGGACTACCCAGCGGGGTCTTTGGTCGCTGGAGGGAAAGGA